GGCATCAACAGAGTCATCAATTGTTTTATCTGTTACAACACCCTTTTTTGGCTGACTTTCATTGTTCAATTTCCCCACATCAGGGGGTGTCTGTATTTGTTTTACCTGTAGAATCTCTTTGTTGATTTTTTCACTTATTGTAGGTGAAGGAGTCCTGTTTGGTGTTTCAGGTCTGATAGGTGGTTGGGGAATGTGAGTCAAAACCTTGGGACTCTTGGGGCTTTTGGGGCTCTTAGAACGTCCAGGTGAGTTTGTTTCTTTGGATATCGTTTTAGTTGACCGAACAGGACTTCCGACCATTGCTGGTGATTGGCTAGTTTTAGGTGATTTAGTCTTCTGTCCCGGAGAAGTAGTTTTTGTTTTCGGTGTAAAGGGCTTTGTTTCTAATGGTTCTGCAGTTTGCATTTGTGATTTTGCAGCTGGAGCCAACATTGGTGGCTCTGGAGACGGAGGTGCAATGTCTGTATTGTCCTGTACGTGGACTGGAGAAAGCACTGGTGGAATCTTTTGAGTATTTATTGAGCTGAGTGGCTCTCGGTCTTCCAGTAATACTACATCTAGGGCGTCCCCGTTAGTGTTCAATAGCCGTGGTCTCTTCATAGAAGTCATTTCTTCAGCTTCAGGACTATCCAACGGTCTCTTACCCAAGAAATTCTCATCATTAATAATTTCTTCTTCTTCCAATTCCTCATCTTCTTCCAAGGAAACCTGCATGGCTTCGGCTGATGTGCCTCCATCAGTGGGCACCTGCTCTTCCTCTTCTTCTTGAGAAGACACAATGGGTGGCATGTAGTCAGGAATGTATTGTTTCCTTTCTTCTGCATCTTTACTTCCAGGTTGAGGAAACTGAAGTACATTGTTTTTGCTAACAGGAAATGAAGGAATTTGATGTGGAAAAGTAACAGGTGCTATATTGTGAATATAGTCTTCTAATTCATGAAGATTAACTCCCATCAGCTGGAAAGCTTCATTAACATCATCCAAAATAGGATCTGTTCGGCCACAGAGCTCAGAGTACCGATGGCAGGCCCATCCCAATTGCTGCAGATAGCGCTGCAGCACGTCCGTGAGAAGGTGGCAGGCGTTGAGTTGCACGGAGTCCCAGCCCAGCGCCTGGCAGATCTGCGCCACTGAGACCCTCAACAACGACCTGGAGTAACTCTCGCACATTTCGCTCCGTTGACTCCACTGCAGTCCTTGCTGCCACTTCTCTTCACCCCCACTGCCTAACCTTAGCAGAGGCCCCGATTCATCTTCCAGGGCCCCCGTGGCGGGGAAATCGTTCCCCCTGACCGCTGGCGACCACCTCAAAGTCCCAGCAACACGAAGCGGGCCAGCCTGAGAGTCGCCATTTTGGACTCGCTCTGCCTCCCGCTCATAACCAAACATCTTGATTGAATGATGAGTTCTTGGGCCTTGGGATGATGGCGTATTGGAAATAACAAGATCAACTGGCAAAAAGTAGTCCACAAAGATGATTTTCTACATTCTACATACTACTTATTGAGTGGTGATTGAAATCTTACAAGCTTGCAAGCAGCCACCTAAAGTATTTCTCCCTGTCCAGAACTAAGAAGAAAAAAAATCAAAGATGTACTGAAGCAATTAATCCAAAGCATTAATACTTGAACATCAATTTAATAAGAAGAATAATAAGATAGTGCCTAGCTACAACCTATGACCATCTGGAAAGGAATCATAGTAGTAGATCCTGCATAGAGTAGGGGTAAATGTGGAATAAAACTCAAAGAAAGAAAAGGTCAAGTTTACTGGTCTAGTAAAGACTAATGGAACCTTGAAGACTATGGCTGGGCTTTAGTTACCCTGGATCAAAACTCATTGCCACAACAAAACTTTGA